CAACTAATCAAATTAAGATAATTACATAATATTTTTATTAACAAATATTTGTTTTATTTTTTTGTATTTTCAATATTTTTTCTTTTCTGCGGGCTGGGTAAAATTTGTCCGAGGGCCGCCATTTGGTGACTCCTGAGTGGAGAAAGTATAGACCTTTAGTATAACCATAACATAAACCATCCTTGGAAATAGATGATGATCGACTTGTCCCTTCGCTCAGTATCGTTTTTTCGTATACCTACTGTGCCTGAAAAACCGGGTGTGCACAGTGTGCGCTGCACACAGGAAAAAATCCTCATACTATATTGCAGGGCCTCAAAAGATCTAATGGCTTATATTAAGTAGTATTAAAATATCAAATATTTAGACGAGTTAATAGTGTTAGTGGAAGACGTGCCGGCCGAAGCCGAAGCAAAAGTGGATGAGTCGGGCGAACTGGAGCTTCCGCCATCAGACAAGAGATTGCTGCAAACCTCCTGGCGGGCGATCACGGAGGATCGTCGCCACCGACTGAAGGGGAGTGAGACGGGTAACCCATCTTCTGATGTGCGGTTGCCTCCGAGGGGAGTAACCCGGAGTTCACGGCTCCCTCCTCCCCGGCCGAGGAGTGCCACGCAAGACGGCGGCACACGTAGGGGATTGACGGGGGAAAGAGCGCGCGGTGAATGGCGGTATGTCGCCCGAACACGTGGCCCGGCCACTTGTGGCGCGAAGAGTTAGCCGTTGTTGTTGTCGGCGGGACCATCTGGCGACTCGGCGCGGGCCCGGCTGTCTCGGCCGCCCTTGCAGTGACGCACGACGACACGGCTCGGCGCCTAGTTGTACCGGCGTGGGCACCGATTCCGCCCCGACGGTACTTCGACGATGGCAGTGCGTGTACGAAGGCGAGTTGTGCAGTCGGCGGTGGAGACTTTAAAGCACGACAGGTGAGTGATAGAGCTCTGCAGCTAGGAATTGGAAGTCGCTCCGGACCCGCGGAAATTCGATTATGAATTCCGGGGTAAGGCGGCGCGAGACTTCCGGACGGCTACCGGCTTCCTGTGGCCGTCGATCCCGCAGCAATCACAGGTGTATTCGCTCGCCCAGTGCTTTTGTCTCCGTTGTCGACGCTGCGACAGTCGTCCAGTCGCTTGAGCGGCCGCTGTGGTCGAGCCCAAACCAGTCGTCTAGATGATCGTCTCTGCGAATTGCGATTGCGCTCGTCCACCCGCGGAAGACCGGTCGTATAGACGTATGGAAGTGACCAGTGGCCACTGAGTACAAACTCACCTCGCCATTTCGTGTCGATCCCATATAAAGCTTTTGGTGCCTTGCCTGATGTTTTTTTTTTTTTGTCGTTTAAGTTATTTATTACCTGCCGACTTTAGACATTTTGGCATTTTTTCACGGTTATAGATTATAATTTATTTTTTCTAAATAAATTTGAAAAAGACATTTTTTTGGTTGAATACTAACAATTTTTGTTTTTCAAAACAACCACATTGTGTCAAAAATTATTATACTAAATTATATAAAAAATGTTTTTTCAAAATGTACACTTTTATTGTGTTATTCATAACATTGTCAACACTCACGTTGTATATTTTTGGCTGTAAAATAAAAATACTGTTACTAAACAAGATATTGATTCTTTTTTTCGTGCTAAGAGTGGAAGTATTTGTATTTATTTTAACAAAATAATGGGCTTCGACGAATGTATCATGCTTGCCAGCTCGTGTGAAGATGTGTGATGAAAATTGTAATTCATATATGTACTTGCAAGTACCCAAGGATAATATTTTTAAATTACAATAAAATAACTAAAATTGTTATTTTTCATTCAAATGTATTAAATTTCGTTCAAATATGAATTTGAAATATCAGCAGTCAATATTTTTAAGCCCATGTATTGTAAACAATTTGCAAAAATATTGAACACAATAGTCAAAAGTACCGTACATGTACATTGTAATTATTAACGAACTTAAGAATTTGATATTTTCATCACACGAAAACATCGCAAAGCCATTTAATGGGTCATTTACCATTAAAAAGTTTTCATCTATAATTTTTTTAATCTCAATGGACCATAAAATTGTACAGATTTCATTCACGTGGCAATGTTGGATACCTATATAGAATTCTTTGCATGGTTCATATTATTTTTTATGTACCTAAGTTACGTCTGAGCGTGTTAATGTACTTACATTACAATTTTTCATCTCGTCAAGAAATAATTTTGCAGGTCGTTCAGATAGCTGTTCTAAAACTTTTCTTTTTAAATTGTTGCTGAGAATTTGTCTATTGTTTTTTTCCTCCGAGTCTTTCACACAATCGTGAATAAGTTTACTATTTTAGAACTGGATTTTGTTATTTTTATTAGTTTTTAAATAAGCTGAACATTTTTTTTTTTTACACGTCCATCACTTAACGCCATTGGCTAAATTTTTGTGGAATCCAAACTTAAAACCATCACAAATTTAAATTGTTTTGCCGTTTTCACTAATAACACTAATAATGTTCATTTTGATAAAACTGTAATACTGCAGTTGTTTACGAAACTGACTGTGTTGAACGGTGATGACGGACTAATCTTTAACAAATAATCACTGATCGACAAGATTGTTGCATTTGACAAATTAATCTGTCTGGGAAATACTGTATGTCTTAAAATAATATAATAACATAAAGGAAATTGATATTGAATTCGATAGTATTGGTACGTAAAACTATCGATAATCTTAGTATGCTTTGGGAGGCAATTCGAGTAGACTGTTTGGGTATACTCGAATTGCCTTCGAAAACACCTGGAGGAAATTCAAGTGAAAAAAGGTTACCTACCTAAATTTGGGAGGCAATTCGAGTGTCGCCATACTATTACTCCAATTTAGTAGGTGGAACACTTATTTGGAACATTTATTTGGGTGGAACATAAAGGGCGACACTCGAATGACGACACTCGAATTGCCTCCCAAATATAGGTAGGTAACCTTTTTCACTCGAATTGCCTCCGGGTGTTTTCGGAGGCAATTCGAGTATACCCACATAAAGACCTAATGACCTGCAGGTCCAAATGACATAAATGTTTACTATATAGACAATATGTGGTAAATTAAATCAATATTGTAATATGGCATGTATTTTGTAACATATCCATATTTAATATACTTGTAACTTTAGGATGAACTGACAACTGTAATAGGTACATATCATTTAATTTTGAAATAAAAAAAAGCATTGCAATGAGCCTGAAGTCATGTTTTTGGACGGTGGTCGGATTGAGTCCACCAGAATAGAGTGAATTCCCCACCGTGAAAAAGTGAGAATTTTTTTACTATACAGTGTTATTTATTATTATTAATACCATTTATATAATATAATAATAATTTATGTTTCATACTTAACTCATACAGCAATGCACACTATATGTCTATATGTAATAATTACATATTAACAGTTATGTACATAATATTATACGTATTATATAGATATTATGTCTGTGGTTGGGAAAACATTATATTTTCACACGCACCGGAAAGCCCTTCAACAGACTCTGCATAATGAGACACTGCCTATACGTAGTTTTAATCACCAAACAGTTGATAATTTATTCAGAGTTTGTATAAGAAATTAAAGTATATAATATATATCTAGTTCTTATTAATTTACTTAGTACCTATATAGGTACAAAATCGATAGTTGGATAGATAGATCATAGTTTGGTGTTTGGACGGATATATTAATTATTAAATAGTTATACTATAGAGTCGTTACTAGATATTTAAAGATATTTATAACCATAAAAATACCAAAAAATACCTTAAAACAATTAAATATTATACTATAAAACGGGTTAAAAGCCATAAACTTATTCGTTTAATAGTATACATAATTGTAATGGTTAAAATTGTACTAATCTCGAAACAATAATGACGAAGTACCTCCACTGGGAGACTGTCCACTCAGTTATTTCACGTCATATTTTATTTTTTTATTACTTTACCACCTAACTAGCATATTGTCCATCTATATAATACATGGTCAATACCTATAAGAATTTTGAGAACAAAAATATTTTTAAGCTTAACAGGTATAGCAGATAAAGTGAAAACCAAATTGTAATTATTTAATTTATAAAATAATATAATTTTTTTGTAGCACTATATACTTGAATTATCATTTGAGGATTGAAGTGAATATAATATTAATACTTCGATGTATACTTATAACCTCTTAAAGGATTGAAAATTAGTAAATAGTGAACATTTTTACAGCTATATTTTTGAACTCGAAAGTGCAAACTACAAAGTTGTTGAAGAAATATTTGTTGATTATACATCATAGCTGAATTGTAACCTACCTAACCATAAACAATAATTTGTTCTCTAATATTGGAGTATATATTATATTTTCATTATGTATAATATTATGGTAATCGTCTATAATTGATTCTATAACTATAATATAGATTGTTACGTTGTAAACACCTGAGGTGATCTGGTAAAAATCGTGTGTATTATTTTGTTTCATAAGGCTCAAAAATAGCACTGATTAATGATTTATCCTTTTGTAGTACCTAATATAGGCGCTAACAACTTAAAAATATTATGCTATAATTGTATAACCACTAAATCATAAAAGTTAGGTAAGCATAATCTATCGTATTTTACAAGTTAAAAAAATATTGAATAAAAATAATTTTTAATCAACTCGATAAATATGAATTTAACCACGTATCACAAATATAAAAAAAAATGCAACAAGATGATGGCGGAATACTCGGCAGGCAAAATGAGTCGATAAACAATCGATCGTAAACGTCAAACAATAGAAATTATTAACAGTATAGTAGGTAGGTATAATTTTATGAGAATCACTTACATTTATTGAGCAAAAACATTTATTTATATATATTTATGATATTATTTTGTAACCTGGTACCTAAGTATAATTAAGTAAATATGTACCTAATTCGAAAATATGAATTATACTAAATAATAATTGCAGTTATTAAATAAAAATTAAGATAGTTACTATACATTTATTGTTGAAAACATTAAATGTAAATGTTATAATTGTATCATTTGTATTACTGGATAAATACTTAATTAATGCCTAATGGTCTTAAAACTTAACACAGTCACGTAGTACTGAATACTGATGTCTGATATTATCCAGAATTAAAAATATTAACAATGATATTTTATGTATTACATGTACGTGTAATGTTACTGAATAAATTAAATAGGTATTACTAACCTATAAAATATTATAATGCATTATTATAATTAATTTTAAATATTAATTTTAATGTATACATTTTACACAATACCATGGTTTTGCAAGGTTACAGTATTAAATCTAAATAAGATGATTTCACAGTGTGTAAGACCGATCACAAAAATAACATACAGACCAGGTAAAAGTGACTAAAATAATTTTGATTATATTTTCCGACCACGCAAGTGAAAACATCAAAATAATAATTTTATTTTAAAATAATATTATGAGTTAAAAACTGTCGAATAACGTCGAATAACGACATAGGTATATAGGTACTATATGTACATATTATTATTACATAAATAGTTAAAACGAATTCGTAAAAATTGTAGACGCACTAAAACGATTAAAATTGGTGAAAGTTCGGGGGTGAGAGACGGTGAGTCATAACATCCCCGAACGGTATTATAACAATATTCAACCAAACCGAACGGAAAACCTAACGCAATAATAAATATTTTTAAAATATATCATCACACGGTTGTACAGCTATGATAGAAAATCGTTTGACGGGCGAGAGGGGCTGTGTCTCGTCTCGTCGACCTAAACCCTTTTATGGTGGTTGATTGGGGCGATTGTAGGAGTGAAGCGTTGGTGGTGTTCAAATGGCGAAACCACCCGGCATGGGCGGATACTCATCCGGTCTCTTCTTGACGGCGCCATTCTGGCCGCGCGTGACCGGAAGCGGCGGCGGCGGTACGTCCGGTACCGAAGATCCTGCCGGCCTGTTGTTCTTGACGACCTCACCGTCCACGGGCCTGTTGTTCTTGACGACCGCAGCGACGGGCCGCGACTCGTCGTGTCCCAACGATCCGTCGTCGGTACCAGCAGAAGCCTCCACATCCGACATCGGCGACGGGTACGACGGAGCGGCCGCGTACTTCACTTGGGGCCATTCGTAGAGGAACTGGAGCGGACGGAACACGGGCGTGACGATCGGTTCCGCTTGGCTGGGCAACAGACGCTGATCGGTGGTGATCAGGGCGTTGTAGACGCGTGGCAAGCGGCCCGTCTTCAACGCCACTTGTTGAGCTGCCGCAAGTTGAGCCGCAAACATAACTGCTGCGACGATGACCACGGCCCGCACGTTTCCGCAACCGCCCACGGTTGTGTGGCGGGATCCGGCCGACTCGACCACCTGTTTAACGGTAATCAAGATATTAGTATGAAGTTTATAGCTATTATGATTTTGTGGTCGTGCTTATAAAATAATCGGTGACGTTCCTCATCCATTTTTCCACAAGGGTGCGTTTTCGATATTATAACATGATTTAGGCATAGTTTAAAAATCATGCTTCGAGATCAATTTTCTGCTTTTAGATTTTAACCCTTCTGGAGTGATGAGAGTGAATACTTAATAATTGCGTGCAGTAAGTGATAAAACGTAATCGCCTTTCCGGATAAAAAAGTGTCTAAAGGATTATATAATTAATGTAAAAAAAAAAGGTAGGGAAGAGGAAAACCATTTCCCGTTTCCCAATCCCAGAGAAAGCCCTCTCTTTATACTACGTAAAGCTTACGTCTTGAACAAATGTAAGCAATTTATAATTTTTCTCTATAAATAGATTAGATCTCTACAATCTAAAAATCAACTTAATACAGAGTATTATATGGATTCTACGAGTATGTGCAGCATAGTTATGTACTTATGTGTATACATATTATACGTATATTAAAGTGATAAATGCGTTACCATAAAGCTAACCCTCATAAGGTAACATCTGTGTCCAATGTGAATGTGTAATGATCTATTACATATATCTATTTTTAAAGGATGAAATTATTTATATTGTAATAGTTTTAAAATGAGTTAATTTTTAACACAACAATAAGGGTTACGTTGTGTAATTATATAATAATGATTGACTATTGTTTCTGAATTCAGCTGAAAAATGTCATATACCTAACCCATATTATGGAAAACGGACGTCATGTTACGAGTTTTCTTGGTAGTCACCCCTGATCGTTATGAAGATTTGGGTTCATCGAGATAATGGATTCATTTGTGAAACTCGTTAATGACCTACTAATATTAATATTTGTATTGTTATTATTATGAGGCTGAATTTCGTACCATACTTGCAATAGATATAATTCGCAAACGGTATACCTTGCGGGCTGACGTTTCTCGCATACTACGAGGGCAGCACAACAATAACACACCACTCCTCATCAATGGTCATATTAAACATTCGAGGGTATTATAGTCACGTACAAGATTTAGTGATGACAAACACCCATTATATTATTATAATAACATATTTTTTCAAGTTTGCAACATTATATGTTCACTTTATCCTTTCTGATCAAACAACGCCGAACTTTATGGAAACGTATTTAGCTATTTTCATGGATATTGAGTGTATTAGTGTATAACGTAACAATTTAAAATAAATCCATACCAAAAAACGTATTTTATAGCACAATATTTACAGAACATATGTCTTATATAATGCTTGACAACATGTTTTTATTTTTATAATCCTGTTTTATCTATAATTAATATAATACACCTATACATACATTTTAAAAATATTTCCTGTTTAATCGTTATAGGTATTTGGGTGGATTATACAATGTACTATATTCGCATTTCACTTTTTACGAATATTTTTCCTACTCATCTAATATTTTATATTCAATAAATGCAATGTTTTTATCTTTTTTCACATAAAAAATAGGTGACAGTAGTAAGATAAAAAAAGTAGGGACCTACATGAACTTTACGCTTACAGAAGTTGATATATATATCGTTGGGTATGATAAAAATGATGTAAATAAGTGATAACTGATGAACTATACAAATTTAGTATTTTGTTTCATAAATTATTTCTTATTATAATATTTTTAATAATTTAAAAATAATCATAACTTAGTAAAAGAATTTTCAAAATAACATTTTTTAATTTATGCATTGTTGAATATTTGAGTGTTATAATTTTGGAGGAGGCAACTTTAACATTTTAATCAGTCTCAGATATTCAGCTTATTAATATTTGAAAATCAAAATTTTAAATATTTTCAAATTAAAAAATGCCCGACCCAACAGTAGGCAAATCGGAACATTTTCCAAATTCTTTGACTAAAAATTACTGAATTACAGCACTCGAAGTATTCTAATAAAATAAATATTAATTCGGTCTCATTCATAGTATTAAGCAACAAAATTATTGAACAATTATTTAATAGTCATCAAAGTATAGGTAAGTATTTATACATTTTTAAATTAAAACAGGTAAAATGAACTTTATGTTTTGAATTCCGACTTTGGACATAAATGTGACCTTAAGAATTAATATTAGTTTAAGAAATGTGCCGGAATCAATGCTAAAAATTTAATTACCTATTATTTAGATTGCATAATCAACTTGTGCTAATAAAATGTATGTATTTCAAATATTATTTAGGTTAACGCCAATTACTGTTAAATTTGCAGTGAATGTAAGACAGTATGTTGTTAAAACCCAATTTCATCACCAATACGATTTAAAAAACGGTTTGACATAGATTATTATTTTAAGCATGTCCGGCTTAGCCTTATTGATAACAGAGGTTATATTTTTAAATTAATATGTAACTACAAAATTATCATATGATTTGTGATTTTATGTGTTTTCCTTTAATCTGTTTTGGATAATCGTAACAACTCCATGAGAAATTTCGCTTATCTATACATCAACAATTAGATTACGCATTTCATTTAAGCAGCTTTTACTTTAAAACCATTAAGCCAAATCAATAACATATGTCAAAAGCAAGTAGCTATATAATACATATATATTGCAGTTTATATTATTCTACAATCAATTATTATAAAATAGTTAACTTAAATTAAAATGTACTCTATAGTTTAGCTAATGTCCATAAAAACAGATTTTTTTTTAATAAATGTATTATTTATTTGTACATATACCATTTAGAGTATTATTTAGATATTACATTAATTGCTAGTTATATTGGATTGTCTGGATGTTGATTAAATTGTCTAGATGCAATTCATTGAGAATCATCTCATAAATTAACAATTCAATTATAGATAAAAACTATTAAGTTACAAATATATCTTTTATTATGTTTATAAAATATTATATATAGCATGAACAATATTGCGTTAGAAGTTGTCTAACTAGTTTATTTAATTAATTCAAATTTGCCTTGAAGTTTTATTATACTGATGAAATAAAAATGTATCTGCAGAGAATTATTATATAAATGAATGTGTTTTATGGACTACAACAATACTTTATTTTAGCCAAACAGATTAATACCTACATCTTGTATAAATGTATAACATATAAGTAAAGGTAAGAACAAGTAAGATTAAAATAAAATGTAATCTTAAAATATATGTAATTTGTTCTACAACTAAAGTTAAACGAGTTAAAGCAGTTTAATTATTAATTAAACTAATAATTTTAAATATCATTGTTATATTATAGAAATTATAATTTAGTAATTGATAATCGCCCTCAAGAAATAATGACATAACAAGTGAACCATAGATACTGTTTAGTTTTAATTTTTAGAGGTCATGATAAAATTAAAATACTATAAATTATAAAAATGGACAAAATATATATATTTATTTAAATAGTCATAATTATATTATAAAGAAATTTGAATAAGTAATTTACAATCTCTAATTGTTTCAATTATAATTGTTTTTCTTTTCAAAGAAACAATTAGTTGAAAATGTATTTGCTTTTTATGTTCAATGTTTCATATTTTATCAAAGTTTATTGTCCAACTGCTCAAGAAAAAAATAAATTTTTCAAGTAATACCTTTAAAAAAAATCGTCACTGTCTCTAACAGTAACACGGACACTGTACTAATACTTAAGTATTGACATTTACTTAAATAACATTTAAGTATTTGAAAAGAAAATTTAATAACCTACCTACATAAATATCATAAAAATAGGTAATATATTAAACAGTGGGGACTGTTTTATTAAAGCTTTAATACATTTTTGATAAATCTCATGAATTTCTTTATGATATTTAATGACACAAGTAAAAGTACATAACTTTAAATTTACTTAAACAATAAAAAAATTAAGTACCTATACCTAGAAATTAGATAAAAAAATACTTCGTATTTGTTGTGCTCAGCTTCTAAATAATAAAGAATTATTAAAATTATTAGAGCTCGAGTTTTAATTTTTATAATAATAGGTGCATTCGTTGTTATTTTAAAATATACGAGTATATATGTAAAAGTACCTACAACGAAATTATTTTATTAAAACATAATAAAAATAACTTTTTACTTTATATTCAAATGGATTATACAAGATGTACATTTCGTGCTATAATTAGGTACTAATGTAATTTTGAACATTTAGATTAAAAATATAATCATAAAGAATACAAAAATAACCTTGTCATTCCGTTAAAACTATTCATTTAATTAATAACTACCTATATAATTTGTTGTATCTGTTGGGAAAATGTAATACTCACTATATATTATATATTATACTGCAACTACAAAACACTTTTGGACTGTCAAAATATAATATTTTACTCTAATTTAGCGTATAAAATAATAAAATTACTTGCAATTAAAATATTTGGCTGCGAATAAAACTCGGTGTAACTCAATGTGATTTTAAACAACACAAATATTCCAAAACTCAGTTATGTACGTCTACACTTGGTCAACAAAACTCGTGATATGGAACTACAATAAAAATTTAACACTATAACAAGAATGTTCTTATCGTAGTATTGCACTTCGGTCAATTTATGTAGAACGATTAAAGATTTTGTGTATAGGTAATAGACACAAGACAACCATAGATTACAGACGACTTAGAAACGACTGAATAATGTTCTATAATACAGATCAAAACAAACAAAGTGGTTCTTAACCTTCAGTTCTTATTTACTTACAATACCATATAAATAAATTATTTTCTTCGATAACCTGGTCTTTGTTGTTTATTTTCTCATGAAAACTTTTTTCTACCTTAAAGTTATATATATTTATGCATATATGGATATGTTAGTTAAAACTTGCATGACTGTATATTAAATTAGACTATTGTGTAAGTACTATGATTTATGACTATTCATGCACAAATATTTACATAAAATATTTAACTCACGAAAACAACCTATTTGTAATGCATTTTTTTTTAATGTGTAATATTAAACTATTTATCAACAAAAATTACAACTAAAGAAAAAAAATTAAAAATAAAGGAAAACTTAACGTTGCAACTTAAGTTTCATTCATTTAAATAATTTTTACAACCGACTAATTAAATTATAGGACTGTAAATTTCAATTATTTACGATTATTTTTAAATGTTCTGAGTTTGTTATTCGTGCATGTAATTATCAATGTGTATTAAGAAAAATATATTTTAAGTACATTTCCAAAGTATTCAAACAATGGTTTAAGATTAATATTAGACCACGAAATAATTCCATGTTTTCTTAGTGTATTATTGATATTTGTAATACTTAACATATTTATTATACCACAGGTTTCTTAAAAAAAAATGTAAATATAAATTCAATAACATACCGTTTTATACCGTGGATTAGCTGTACTTAAAGACGTAGTGAGACGTTCAATAGTCGGTCGGCAGTTTTGTACAAATGTACAATCCAATACCGTATTTGAGCATTCATTTATGAACACAAGAATAAGTATAGCATTTTACATTTTTACAATAACAGAAACATGAAATGCAAATTCATTAAGTTACTAGGTGTATAATATTACCTTCACATCGAAATGACAAAATGTCCGACAATGTAATAGCATTACCTACTAATAGGCTATAATAATAAATAGGCGTTCTTCGTATTTAATTTCCATTAATCATTATTATTTATCATTTATTTTGACACATGTGCAATGTGTGAATTAATTCCAAACTAGAAACAATTATAGGAACATATTTTTCGAATTAAAATGTTATGAAAATATAAATATAAATACATACAATATTTTAACGTCTACTAGACATATAAATATAAAACATTTAAGTTACCTATAAGTGTATTTACCTATATGCACGTATTTTTTTTTTTGAAAAAAGCCAATTGTTATTAAAACAAATAAATAAGTTATTATTTTGTATATTGTTTAAATTTAAATTAATTTAAATTTTACTTAAATTACTATCACTACCTAACTTATCACTTCATATTTAATTTTGTATTTGGATATGTACTTCATATTTATATCTTATAGCCGTTATAAATTATGTCTTTTACCACGGAAGTAAATTTAAATATTATGGATCCTTGAAATGTGTTCCCGCACATTGGTAATAGTGTAATACCTAATCGCTATAGAAGGTATACGTGCTCTATTTACCCTAAGTATGTAAGAATTAAGAAAACATAATATCTCCATCACAACATGCTATAGTGACTGTACACTGTACAGATTTTAAGTCCTTGAAGACAGACCATAAAGTCGTTTGTATTATCTTCACACTTAATAAATCTCACAATCCAGGAAGTTATTGGAAATATAATTGTCACTCCTGTAAATATTTTAATGCATTTGCAAATACTCACCATGATCAAGTGGTTTTATTTATTTTTAAATATGAACACAGTAGGTTATTGTTATACCACATATGTTATTCCCTTTTTATATTTAATATTTAAGTATTATTTGTCCTAAAATGTTTATGTTTACATTTTATTTCATGCATCTTCAATGGATTCTTAATGAGATCTTAAATTTACTGAAAAATACCTAAGAACCAATGTTTTTTTATTTGTTAGAGTTTGCATGACATTAAATTTAATTAAATATAAAATACCCCGAATAGTTTTCTATGAATTTTAGTACCTAGTATGTATGAGTAATATGGCTATTAACTAATTATACAAATAATTTAAACTTAAATCATTTTCTAAATAATACTGATTCTTTAACGTGTCATAAGCATATTTACTATTTAAAATTGTATTGTTGACATAGATCTATTGGTACATACTGGCTACTATTATATTTTATTAAATTTCAATCATAATTTAACTATAGGTATATAAATTTAGCAACTACCTATTATCATGATTATTAAAATAATAAAAAAATATTTGTGAAATAGGAACTTTCTTAATACAAATATTTTATTATTTATTAAAAATTATAAAGTATAAAAAAATTTGTAAGCACATTTTGTTTTTATCAATAATATGAATAATAAAAGGGCAATATTATGTAATATTACATGTGCACTATAATACTATATAATATGTACAATCTTATACTCGTAAGAGTTGTTACCAGTAAGAATATTAATAGGTATTGATATATTTTAATTTTATATAAACAAACAATATACATAGGTACACAATGTTCATCTATATTAGATAAATCAATTTTATGAGAATGTATGTGCACTTTTTATTTTCTCTATCTGACCAACTATCAACTTAGACAAATTGCATTCAGCATAACCCATATTTTGAGTTGTAGGTACCTATGGCTTTATTTTTAGTCTTTAAATTTTAAATATTTTTACATACCCACCAGCTACTCATATATACTTCAGAAAATTGTAAATATCATTAAAAATCAAACCTAAAAACACAGATATTGTTCTAAACTTTAAGTTTGATAATGAGTCAATGCACTTTAACATTATTTAACTAATACATAAAACTAATGACACATAATTGGTTCTACTGATCACAATTTTTCTGCTGCGCGTCGCCGGGTGCGACGATCAAAGAAAAATAAGAGCAGATATGATTTTATAAAATATAGAAGTTTATTTCTAGTAAATGTAAATATAATAGTGTGATATTTTTAAATTTTTTTTTTAAGAAAATTATGCTGTTATAATTTAACTAAACTTTTAACAGTTTTTTTTCGCAGTTATAAATAATAAAACGATTATGATAGTAGAATACTGAATAGTACCAATATACTTGTGCATAATACATTTCAAAGTAAAATAGACTATTGGAATTATGTGAACATTAAAATTGTACTTATTTCGTTGTGTGCTCTTATATGTTTTGGAAGGTAAAATATGTTAAGCTAACAAATATTTTTTTTTTTTAATTTTTTATTATAATAGGTATTATTAACACGATTGGGAATTCCTTTCTTGTAACAATGTAAAAGTAAATTAAACAACTGTCGAACAAAAGATATCACGTATACTAAAAAAATGATAAATAAATAAAAACCGGGTAAATTATACTTATAATAGTAGGTATTTAAATTGTATACTTTAGCATACCTGAATATTCATAATTGTATTCGGGCTGTGTTGGACGTCGATCGGACACTGTTCGGTTGGACTGTACTTCTCAACGGCACTGTCCGTACAGATGTAAACTAGTTAGAAGGCCGCCGGGTCAACTTCCAGCTGTCTCCGTTTATTTGTGCTGAACTCATGATTTCGGCGGAACTCCAAACAGGTGATTTGAGTTCCGTTAAATAGATTCATTAGGAATGGTACCTAAACGACGAATGATGAGCAATGGCAACTTGGGCAAAACCTCAAAGATTAAAGTTGGCATCAGAGGATTTGCTAGAACCATAATAACAGTGTACCACATTGCCGACCGCAATAGCCACCAGTAAGCCATCTTCCAGGACGAGTCTATAAAAAAAAAGGATACATAATAAAATAGTAATGTATAAATAATTGTAAATGGTAACATAGTAAGATTAATATAACAAAATCTGAAGAATAAACTTTACAGCGTATGTATGCACTAGACTAGGTAGGTACATACAAAAACTGTAAAAACTTCACATCACATTAGTAATAACAATTATCATCCATTCAAAAATATATACACAAATAATTCTTATTGTTATATTATTACACAAAATACATTTTCAGCACGATTGGTGGATTAAACCAACAATATGTTATGTGCGTGCTGGCTAATATAGACACTGTAATTTAAGTTGCATACATTATACTGTATATACATTCTTGTTTGGTCACATAACAATTTTAGCACACACAGAGCATTCGTAAGATAAAAACGAACATTTTACTTAATATTTGTCTAAAAAAAATAGAATATGATAAAAGATAAAGACAAGTAAATTATTTTACCTGTTTGATTTCATTTATACCATTATTTAGGTTTGTCTTTACGGCAAATTCACTCATAATAACTCACAAATCTAATAGGTACACAAAATTAAAAGTTAATCACGAGTTCAAATTTCAATCGTTACGCATTACATAAAATAATTCAAAGATAAGTAGATACTGCCATACTGGATAATATAGGTTTAGGTACTGTTTGGATATAGAAATACTTAAATGCGATTCAAAATTTTAAAAATATTTTATCAATTTGGAATACCTATATAACAAAATATAATTCATAACTAATTATAAGCATTAGCAATACATTATTATATAATATTTCCTAATTCCTATGCCATTTCAGTGGTTTTACGCTTATAACTAAGCAAATACATTTTTTTATTAAACACAGTGAATTCTGTACATAACGATATCGGACAGTCACGCGATCATCAAAAGTGTCCGGGATATTATCATATTGTTGTCTGTTAGAGAGAAATGTCCTCTACATATAGCCATACAGGCGTCCGTTATGACAGATTTCATTGAAGTTATTTAGTTATTTGTTTTCAATTTAAAATCAAAAATAATTATTTGATCTAATCGAAGTTTATGATAAGCATAATATGACCAGAGCGATTATCGCATTATGCCAATACCTGGACGTCCGGACAAAACCGAACCGTTGGTAATACTGTGTATGATGCTATGTATAAGTATGTTTTTTCAACCTTATGATGATGCGTCCTTAACCCGTTGAATATCATTATTCATTACAGATTCATTTCACGATGTATCATCATCATAGTGTATGATGTGTGTATAAGTAGTAGCCAGTAGGCACGTCTATTTGTCTAAATATTAAATGATTTCAACATATTATATGATGTGCAGGTAAGTTTAAAATACAGCCCTGTATAGCCTGTACAGCTATATATACTCCACAGTTTTAGCACATATAATAAATATAGCCCCTCTATCAATACTGGGC